ATTGCAAACAATTGCTGTGAACTGTTAAAGCACAAGTAATATGCATCTGCAGAAAAAAAAATCAAAGACATATAACAATATCAAGTTTATCCTTTTTTGATTGACAATAAAACTTAGTAAAAGGAACACAGAAACACAATACGCTACTACTTCTCTACACCTTTCATCAAAATACGTGAGATTTTTTTGTTTTTTTCTTTGAATGGTGATAGTGTAGTACTACTCGTACATAAAAGAACCTTCAGAAAGTAACAGCAAATCTACACTTTCTATAAGTGTAATTATATATATGTAATAAATTGTGTGTGTGTGTGTGTGTGTATGTGTGTGTGTGTGTGTGTGTGTGTGTGTGTGTGTGTGTGTGTGTGTGTGTGTGTGTGTGTGTGTGTGTGTGTGTGTGTGTGTGTGTGTGTGTGTGTGTGTGTGTGTGTGTGTGTGCATATATATATATATATATATATATATATATATATATATATATATATATATATATATATATATTTGTATATGTACGTATTTGTATTTATATGTATGTATGTATGCATATATGTACAAATGTATATATGTATATGTATATATATATGTGCATAACATCACCACAATTTGTGCAAGTTTTTGCTAATCATATAGTAATTTGTTTAGCATTAGAATGTGAAGACAGTGCGTCATATAAAGGCTGCAACAAACAAACTATGAAGTAATCTGCATTGTGAAAACGTTCATATCTGAACCTTATTAAAAATACCATATCGACGGAAACAGTTTTTGAAAAATAAATACACATAACAGTAAGTGAAAATTTTCGTTCTAATTGTAAGTAAAACCAATAATGTTTTGGAAGTGAAATGTTTACACGCTTTCCCATCAATTCAGCTTTTACATCAGAGAAAGAAAACAAATAAATCACCATTCTCCATCAGACTCACACCTCATATATTTTTTATTATTTTATTTAATAAACTAGAATAAGTCTGAGACACATTTACAAGGACATCATTAGGGTTTCAGTCCACGTGTACTTAACAGGGCACAGACAGGCACTGTTACATCTTGCATTATTGAGCAGCTACACTGTTTTCCTGATACATATACTTATATTCTGCTACGTAAAGAACTGCTGTATAATAGATATACACAAGAAAATAAAACATAATGAGAGTAAATTTTTATGACAACAGCAGTAAAGAATGACGCTGTTAATTTTGATAACAGAGAGTATAACAAAATGATCTTTGCAAAGTAACTCCTTCAATTTTCATCTAAAATGCACCATATAATAAGATAAAACTTCAAGAGTATATTGTACCAGAGTTTTACATCCATCTAGCCAACTACAATAATTTTCAACTGAGTGTTATCCACAATCAATACATTGGTTATCACATCAAAATAATTATACATTTGGCCCCTTTCACATATTTTTATGATAAAATTGAAAGAAACATGAATGTATAATACACATAATGAATGATATAAATACAGTTGTTGTTATAATTGTTACTCATAAAACGTCTGTGATACCGGTGATTGCAGTCTCGTTGGCCAAACAACATAAAACATATTCCGTGTTCACCACTCTGATGCACATTAGACTAAATACTGATTAGCTTAGAATAATGTCATTTTAGTTTTGGTTCGCAAGAAAAATATATATAATGATAAGAAAGAAAAAGATTTTAAAAATGAAGTGTCAATTCTTGAAATGCAAAGGTATGCCTTATCGTGAAACAGATAAACTTATGAACAATATATTATGTCTTCTCTGCATCATGTAACGTCACATTCGGTATACGTTGTGTTTAATGCATTATCACAGTTTCAATAGCAATTATGTGTATTGTATACGCAAATGTGCAAAGAAAAGAAGGCCCTACTACTGTGCAATAAAGTAATGGAGGACTGTGCAACATTCGAGGTTAAAAATGAAACGGTGACAAGCAGCTCAAGAGGGTTTCTTTCTTTCTACTTTGTATTACGTTTTGATCTTGCGGTTTGCGAGTGCGGGTTCGGCTCTTGAGAACGTGTTTGGCGGGGAGGAGGCTTTCCAAAGTTCTTATCTTTGAAAACACACACACACACACACACACACACACACACACACACACACACACACACACACACACACACACACACACACACACACACACACACACACATATTCGTTCGGTCCCGCTTTATTTTACCTTCACGGCATAACTGCAACTTTAATGGTAACTTCCACATCCCCGCTCAACACATGTCCTGAGCCTGGATGTCACACAAACTATAGAGTGCAATAAAGCGGCTTACGGCTGCGATCTCTCGATTTTGTGATGCTTCTATGCCGAAGTTAGGATCGAAATTCGGATATTCAATTAAATTCTAAATGCGATGTGGAGAAAGAGAGAGGGAGGGAGGGAGGGAGGGGGGGGGAGAGAGAGAGAGAGAGAGAGAGAGAGAGAGAGAGAGAGAGAGAGAGAGAGAGAGAGAGAGAGAGAGAGAGAGAGAGAGAGAGAGAGAG